TTTGTGGCGCTGTATACTATTGATAGCAGCATAAACACGACAAGTAGACTTCTCCCTTGGTGCAATGGATAACGCATCCGACCACTGATCAGAAGATCCTAGGTGCACTCTTGGCCTGCTCTGCACTTTGAACACTTTCCTCGGGTTAATCAAGGATTCTGGTTATACAGCATCAATGTATGCTAAGACTTTATATTGGAAGGGCCTTACAAACCCAATAACCCAATAAACTCTTAATAACAGTGAGGAGGAAATGCATTTTTAAACAGAGGAAACCTTCAGTCGAAGGAACTGAGACAAACGGGATTTGAGCTGCAGTCACCTGACTGAAAGTCAGGTGCATCTGTGTTTCCATCACTAACCTTCTCACGTTTCTACAGGTTATATCAAAGCTTTTTCTCTAATATTGACTATCACAGGCCTTTAAAGCCCGAAACATGAAATAATTCCCAGAAAATTCTTGATTTTTAAAAGAAATCAAATGTTTATTGATCTTTCTGATGAAATTAAATAATATTAATGTATCAAATGCGATACACTTGACTTTAAAGTGTAGGCTGCATTCACGTTCTGTTATAATAACCATGAATACAAGTTTGCAGCTTGGAAATAGCATTCAGTTGCAGAAAGCATCCAAACCTATCTTCATGTCTGGCCCTTTAAAACTGTTTGTTTGCAAGCTCTTCTTATTTGGTGTGGCACAGTTCATGGTGGACAAACATCAGAAGTGGAGACTATTAAAAGTAAAAGAAACTTACTGTGCCAAGTAAAAAATAAACATTCTTTTTATTATGCATACTGTATAAGACATGTCTCCAAAACTGCTTGGTCAGCAGGGCTAGGACACATTCACTGTACCTTATGTTCGGGTATATACTGCAGCTACTTTTTCATCATACAAAATATCTATAGCCGTGCTTATAGCTCTCTGGTGTAAGCTGATACATGAAATGCTGAATGTGCATTTTGATTAGGAGATTCATGTGTGAATCTAACTTTCCTCTGCAGCAACACAAGAAAATGTAACATCAGAGCATTTAAAGTGGTTGTGATTTTGTTTTTCACTTATCTTTCCTTCACCTTTAAAAAAAATTCAGTCACTGCACAACCTTCAGGGTCAGGTGGAGACGTTGTGTTGAGCTAGATAAAGTATGAAATCACCAAAAAGCTTTCAGAAGAAATATTATAGAAGTGAAGTGTAATATATAAAAAAAATCATTAGTTAACTTTGATTCACAGGTTTTAAATTTCATGTGCTTAACAAAAGCCTTTTAATATAATAATACAGCATTTTATATTACAGTTGCAAGGTGCCAGACAAAGGACAAAAACACATTTGTCAGAAAAGTGATAAAAAATGAAGATAACAAAGCTAACATTGTTAAATGGAGGTCAGAGAGGATAACAGCCAGCGCCCATAAACGGGACAGTAAAAAGACTTTAAAGAAGTCATTTGAAAGTTAAAGCAAATTATTCAGCCTCTTCTTTTTCAGCATTGTATTTCAAAGTCATCTTCACATCACCAGGAACATGAATCGCTGAGGCTTTGCAGGATGCTGAACTGCTGGATTGATTAAAGGATTTGTATGGAAGATATTCTGAGGGTTTTTTTTCCTCCCCACAATGCTTGTTTCTTTACGTCTTTGCAAATTCTGACATTTTCTGTGTGACCTTTGATTTTGTCAGCACAATATCCTGCTCCCTTGCTAATCAATGTACATCAGTGCCTTACTGCAAACTTTAATTTAGAGCTTGGACGGATGCTCACACAGTGCAGTCATGTATGCAGAGAAGGAAATGACTTAAAAAACAACAACAAAAAGAAAACAACACATTAAAATATATGATATGATTACAGGATACCTGTGATATCACAGGTATCCTGCAGGCGTGGAGTCTCTGCACTGATGCATAGTTCACGAAAGAAGCACCATGAAAGGTAAGCAGAAAACTTCTAAGTGGTATAAACTGTCTAAACTGTGTACAAAAACAAAGGTTACGCTGCCTCTGACAGAACGAGGAAGAAATTGTTTGATTTGAAAACAGGTTTAATTTGTTCTTCATCAAAGAATTTTAAAACTTTGCTGTGTTTTACAACAAAGTCACACTTGTCACAAATCAGCGCTTTCTTGTCAATCATCTCACCACCAGAATCTGCACGTGTGCACTTCACTGAAAGCAAAGGCCAGCATTTAAAGAAACTTTTAAAAGTAGCGCTAAAACTCTAAAAACAGATAACACAGTCCTGCTTTACTTCCTGTGAGTGAAACATTGAACTTTTCGATGCGTGACAATGAACCGAGAGTTGCTGTAAAGTTACTTTACAAAGGGAAACAATCTGTTTAATAACCAACTAATAGATTGATGAAAATCACATAGATGCTGTCTTATTACTTTGCAAGTTTCCCAGGTTTAAGCGGAGAAAAAAATAGTGAAAACTCTTAGGCATTATTAAAATATCATTATTTTTTCTACACTGAAATGTGGACTATATTGTATTTGTATAGCACTTTTCAAATTAATTAATATCTCTTGTGGATGTTCGCACTGAAAGTCAATTTATGCCAAAGGTAATACAAATTAGCATGTCCTTAATCACTTCCTTTGGGTCTACTGAGCCTGTATGTTTGTAGTAGGCAGCACATTAGTGACCAGTTAAAGCAGCAGGATAATGAGGACGATTTATGTTGTAGCCTTGTTTGGATGGAACAGTCCTAATTAGAGCAGCACATGCACTCAGTGTTTTAGAGTGTGCAGATCTACTTTTAACCAGCAGAGGGTGACAGCAGCACTGCAGTCAGGCTTCACTATGGGTCTGTTAGAGCGCACATCCAACCAGGCCCGTGCATGTGGGTCCTGTGAGGCTGCTGTGGCTCACTGCTCATCGTGCTTTACAGTGCTGGCACAGAGGGATTATTTATCTTTGTGTTCTTGCTGGACAACTCCTCCTCCATTGTCCAGCCATTCATTTGAAATCAATGCCACCAAGGACCAATCAGAGTGTTCTTTGAAGGAAAATTATGATTGCTCCTGAAGAGGGTCAATCATAAAAATGACAAAAAACACCTTTACCTGGAGCATGGGGTTGCTTGTTTTATGCCTTGTCATTGGTGGGGCTTCATGCCCTTGTTTTTTTGTTTTTTTTTATTTTTTAAAGGTACACTTCAGTACTTTCTCTAGTCCCCAGTTTCACGCTGGTGATGTAATCCATTTTGTCATCAGGGTTATTCTGACAGAAACTTAAAACAGGCATGTTTTGGAGGTGTGAGCATAGGAGGCAGCTGCATTGTGGGAAACAAAGCCTGACTAAGCAGCAATCTCTTCGGCTAAAAAATGTAAATCATCACAGAGGTGGAAAAAACTGCAGTTCCTCTAATGTCCACTTGAGGCTCCAGCAGTGAGTCAGTCCCCATAGACTCCCCTGTTAAATTGTCCAACTTTACAGGAGAAATAAACATGTCTACATCCTACTACAAAAAATGTTTTGGGCTCTATAGTTAATGTGCCCCTTCTTGACAACTGCACAGGGGGTGCATGTAATAAAAATTCACCCTCTTTGGGTGCTTTGTTTGACACGTGGATACCAAAGCAGGCATCTACTTATTAATGTCCTAGAAATGGATCTCTTGAGTGGTGTCAGTGCCTCTTGGAGCATTACTTGTGCAGTTATCTGACCAATAATATGGATGCTGTGCAGTTAATTGTACTAAAAGAACATCCAAGAAGTCTGAGCCCCAGTTTGGGTGAGTGAAATTCTAGGACTATATAAGTATGTTATGTCTGCTTGCTCCTGATTCACCCCTACAGTTTAGCCTATCTGAGGATTAGCCTTCAAATAATCAAACTCCATCTTTGATATACAGCCTATGAACTTGACCCATACTAGAAAATAAATATCATAATGTTTGAGCCTTTTTTCCATCTTTGGAGTCCTTTATGGAAGCATAGTATTCAGTGGAGCACCACCTTAAGCATTCAGCCTTAAATAAATGACATCCTCACAGGGAGAAGACAGGGGCTGTAAACACAGCATGACAAGGGCTCTCAATTACAATCACAAACACGGCCACAAAGGCGGCTTCATTCTCTGAGAGGCTGCATGCCAATTAGCAGCGTTTGGTAGCTTTAAAAGGGCTCTTGCTGCACTTTGATATACAAGCTTTCAAATGAATAACAAAGAGGCTGCCTCACAGGTGCATCATTAAAACACATGCAACAATTAGTCGATCAATAAAAGCAAATCAGTAGACAAATGAGAACGGCTGTTATCTGATAATCGATATCTAGCTTATAATAAATATTAAATAAATATAAATTCTATTTTTATATATAGAACTTTTTGGTCGCACATAAGAGGCAATAAGATGACATCACCCGTATCACTTTTACTGTTCTGTCAGAGTTTTTGGTACCATTTAAAATGTAAAAATCCACTAAAATAAGAAACTTTAGTTCCTGCCATAAAAATAATCATATCAATCTAAAATATCTATGCACACAGACACTCCTGCCTTGCATACAAATAATCTATACTGTATTCACAAAGGGATGCGTTCTTTTGGCACTTTGTACGGATAATTAGAAAGAAAGCAAAACACCACTAAAGAGAACAGGTGTAACAGCTCTAATAAGATCTGTAAAGTAGCCCCTACAGTGGAGTGACGCAGGTTTGGCCACGGAGGAGTTTTTGGTGGACCAGGGGCTTTCAGAGGGACGCATTCAGAGTGTGCGTACCTGCGTAAAACACAAGCAGCGTCCGCTATCCAGGAATTGCAACCCTGTACAGGTGAGACCAGCTACTCCTCCGTCTATACGAGGAGGCGCTCCCACGAGGAAGGATCTATTTCACAACAATGAATGGCATTTCTGCTGGATTACAAACTACGAAGGGCTGCTCTTACGTTATCTCCCCTGAGCAGCAGTGACCGTCGCGTCCAGACACCGACACCTTACGCACCGTCCTCTCACACATCTCTACTTGTTGTCCTCCTGCGACAAACATGACATCCCCGCTACTGGCTTATATCCTACTTCTTTCAGCCCTTCATACCTGGTAAGTGGCGCCCTTTGGTCGCGTGATGCGTTTTGGTGATGCTTTAAATGCTCAGGAAACTTTGTGGCTGGCTCTTAAGTTTGCGTGAAGGACTCAGTGACACTAACGATGTCTTTGCGTGCATGCACTCTGCAGACTGCGCTGCATGTTTTAAGTCAGTGTCATTGCTCCTGCTGTTTTCAGCCACCTTCTTTTATTTGTGTCCCTGTAGCTCTCTAACAATCGAGTCCGAGGAGGACTACGAGGATGTCACTGTGAACCAGATGCTGGCTCCTAAATCCCAGCAAACCGACGCCACGGAAATACTCAATAATTTACTGAAAGAATATGACAAGAAACTGCGACCGGATATTGGAGGTAAGGGTTACTTCTGTCCCAATTTCTCAGCTAACTAATCACAGAATTTGAATGCAAAGCAGCTTTCTCCTTATAGCCACACCTGTGTGAAACCTGGGGATGCTATTAGTTCTAGAATCTGATAAATGTAAAAATTAAGTTGATGTTTATAATTTAATTCAGAACCTACATAACACTGTATGCATGAACTGTGTACTAAAACCTTTAAGTGTCAATATTAGCTAAAGCTTTTCCAGGTTTGTCCCCACTGCTAACACTGAGCCCAAAAAGTCTGTGCCGAACTTTATTTCATTTTACAAGCTTAAACGTTCTTGTACAAATGTACATAAAATACCTTTTTATTAGTCTATTTTAAAGGTTTGCATTAATGAAAGATGCCCTCTCTGAAGACTCCATAAAACTGTCCAGCCGTTATAATGAAACAGCAATACTAAGTAAAGCAAAACTTTTAAAAGGACTAAAAGTATTGACATTTTAAAATGTGAACTTACTATCAGCTATTTAAACACTACAATCTTCAGACATCCACACATGAAGCACAGGGGATAGGTGATTTCCTCCATCTCTCTTTGGCTGATAGAGGTGTTGGAGTAGCACTTTTTAAAGTCTAACTTCAATAGCAGTGACAATGCCAGGGAATTTCTGAATATTGTAGAATTTATTTGTTCCCACAGCAGATGTGATTGTGCAGTGTTATTCCAGGATGTCAGGACGATTCTGCAGGAAAGTCTTTGACGGTCAGCTCTCCTTGGTCTTCTTTGGTTTTTTTTGTGGTTGTTGAAAAGCTTTGAGGTGTTTGGCTTCATCACCCTGTTGACTCGTTCATCACAAAAATCCAAACTTGAGGGTGGGACATGTCTCTGAAGAATGGAGTGCTGCTTCTCCATGGTCAGAGAGGCGTTGATTCAGTGCATGTGTCCAGAATATTCCCACCCTCTCTATGGGTTTCATATAATGTGGTAACATCTCCTTATAGACACTCTTCTGTTGCTACCACTATCATCAGGATATTATATTAATATTGTTTTTCTTGCTATTCGCTGTGAAGTGCTCCCTTAGTCTACTCTTGTGGTCATAACTTTAAAGCAATGAATTTAAGGACATTCTTTCTAATTAGATGACACTATTTCGTGCATTTAATGGGCAGGTAAAGTTTTTTAGTGGTTTTACTTTCTAACCCACGATCACAAAGGGTCAAGGTGTAACTCATGAATATAAATTACATCTGAAGGTGGAAACTTTGAGTGGAGGAGAGAGATATGTAATTCCCTGACTCATTTTCTCCTGGATAAAGTGAATGTGTTTGTCAACTCTGAAGACTCTGAAGAGGCTCTGCTTCTGTTCTTGTTCAGGGTTTGCAAAGTGGCCTCTGGTGGCAGGCTGCTGCCATATGGTAATGTAGTTAGAATCAATGCATAACAAAGAGGGGCGTCTTAGAACACACTTCTGTGAGTTGTTGCTCGTTAGGTATTAACTTAAAAATGGACAACTTTCATCTTTGCAAAAAGAACAAGCAAGACATGGTTGAGCTGGAGGTCAGTCGTTAACCATCTGACAAAGCCGAGTTGCTTTGTGAGCAGCAGCAGGCGACATCCAGTTGACACCTAACAGCCTGTTGTGTTTAACAGCAGGCGTCGCCTCAGATGTGACCAAGATTCAGCTCGTGATCATGATTTCTTCTTTGCTGATGGAGGGTGTTTGCATTTGTAGCCTTGATTTAGATGGCACCTTGCTAACAAAACTTGTCCACAAATATCTAACTAGTGCTGGCAGGCCTGGGATCAGTAGTCTTGGTAAAATCATACTTTTATTAAAGGTGCTGCAGTTGCTATAGATGTGTGTAACAGTGCATCAGATTACCTTTTATAATGTGAATTTGTTTTGTTTTTTTGCAATGATAGCCGACAGATAATGACACTGGATTCTTACTTTGGGACATGTAGGCATTTCATGCTACTATCAGCACTTTACCATCATCACATCGTCATCACCAGCTGCTGTAATAAATCATACACCCAGTGATGAGAGTTAGTTGAGTGTTCGCGACTCATGAAATGTGTGTATATATATATGTATATATATAAAATAACAACAACAACAACAACAAAATGTTAATACATCCTAACCAAGGGTGGATGACATGCCTCCTCCAACCCCACACCTTCAAGTTCATGTTCAAGTTTGTTTATATAGCACTTTTAAAACAGCATCTGTTGACCAAAGTACTGTACAATAAAAATAGCCAAAACAGAAGACATAAAATGCGATAAAGTTAGAAGGGAATAGAATCATAGAATGATAAGATAATAAAAACAATAGTAACCAACTCATACTGATTTAAAAGCCAGAGGATAAAAATGGGTCTTTAGAGTATCCAGTGTTGGGGAGGTCCTGATATGCAGAGGCAAAGAGTTCCACAATTTAGGAGCAGTCACCGCAAATGCCCGGTCTCCTCTGTGTTTTAATCTGGACCCTGGGACAACTAGTAGCATTTGGTCCACAGAGCTCAAAGATCTTGCAGGAGTATACCAGGTTAGAAGACCAGAAACATATGTAGGAGCTAGTCCATGCAGCGTCTTAAAAACAAGTGTTAAAATCTTAAAATCAATTCAAAAACTGTTTGGCAGCCAATGTAATGATGCAAGTATGGGAGGTGCTCCATTGTTCAAGCATTTTTGATGCAATTATATGGCGATGGCTGCTGCGCCGTTCATTGTATTAACCGACCATCTGAGAAGTCTGTGCTGCAGTTTTGATGAGTGAAATTTTAGGATTTTATTTGGATGCTTCAAGATGAACTGCTGAGTCCAGAACCAATAGATGACATCACAGTGGCTATATCCAAGCTTTTTATACACCCAATAGCGAAACTCTTCTCATTTCCAAATGTATATCTACTGATCAAGATTAATCATTCATTTGGGGAGAGCTGCATTAAGAGATAAATTAGTGTTCTCAAAGCATGCAAACTGCCCTAAGTTTTCTCTTTAACCTAATTGGGAAGTCTTAATAGATCCATAGAAGAAGAGACCATTATTGTCGACACCTGCACCATTTGGCTTCAAAAAGGGAGAAACCCACAGATGATGTCACAGTGGCTACGTCCATCCTTTGTATACAGTTTGTTGTTTTGGACAACGAAGTAGGTGGATCCTTCAGCATCTCTTTGAGATTCTTCAGTCACTGCTTTAGCAAACAGGATTTTTACATCCTGAATCTTGTATAATATCTCTGTTACTATGGATACCAAGTAGTGCAAGCTCTGTTGTTCCTGACTGGGAAAAAATAAAGGGCACAAAGGAAAGAAATGTGATTGGTACGCTGGGTGTTACTCAGTGGCACGTATAGCTGACCTCACACATGCTCTGGAAAAGCCCTTTCAATGCATTCCTGAGAGAGATGATCCCGTTCTTACATCCTTAGTGCCACTTTATTAGACTTACTTTCTCAATGTTTCACTCCAGCAAATAACCCTGAACTCTCACTTTCCTCAGTTGATAGAACAAACCTAAAG